CTTGTCTCTCAAGTGATGGGTTTGGAAGGTGCTGTTGAAGGAGCTTTAGTGAGTTATTTTAAAGAAAACACAATGTAATCAATGAAAATTCACTGTCACAGAAACCAAATTCTTTTTGATATTAGAAACGACACCCTATGCTACCACGACAAAGGTCCTTGTTTTTCTCTAGCCATCTGCAGCCTTTGATGTGGTCGATTACACTACTTTCCCCCACTGTTGTCCAGCTGGGGGAGGCTGGATTGGTCAAGATCTGTTCTTACCTATCCAGTCATAACCAGAAATTCACCTGGAATAGTTTCTCCACCTGTTTCTTCCTCATCACATTTTGTGACTCCGAAGGATCTATGCTTGGTCACCTGTCATTTCTCATGGATATGCAGTCCTTCAGTAAACTAAGGGTCTACTTCCGTGTGCATGCCAATGTCACTCGACCCAGCCTCATCATCCCTTCACTGTTTCTGAATGGTTGGGCTGTTTGTCCTACATTCAGTATTAGATGGCAGACATCTCCTCCCAACAAAATACTGGTAAGAACACACCTGTTATTGTCAGTGCCTGTAACAAACTTCCTCACAAGAGATTCTATCCCTCTACGTGATAATTGTCTGAGGCAGAAATATTCGTTCACAACACTGATGTGTTGTGATTTCTGGCCACATTCCACACCATCAATAAGACCACCACATACATCTCCACAATATCACCCCAACTCCATCCTGCCTCAACCTATCTGCTGCTGAAACTCTCATCCATGTCTTTGTTTCCATTATACTTAAGTAATTCCAACATGCTCCAGGTCAGCCCCTCCATCTTCTATTCTCCATAAACTTGAGATCATCCAAAACTCTGCTGTTCATTTCCTGATGCATCAAGTCCTGTTCACCTATCACCATTGAGCTCCCTAATCTACACTGCCTACTGTCCAGCAATGCCTTGAATTCACAATTCTCAATTTTACAAATCCTACCAAACCTTCCTCCACCATAATCTCCTCCAGCACTACAACCCTCCCAAGATATATCTGTACTCCAATTCTGGCCCTTTGTTCAATCCCTATTTTCATTTGGAGAGGGGAAGGTGTGGACCTGAAAAGTTTAAGTTCTGAAAACAATTATTATGGAAATTAGATAAAATCAGAACAAGATTATTAAGTTATCACTTAGACTACAGCAATAAATTCAAAATTCATGTAGTGAATGAGAAATACACAATTGCTTCACTTCATTCAACTTCCAGTCTTTAACTTTTTCTTATCTGTTTCCCACTTTATTCCTCTCCCTTGTCTCTCTCCTTATTTTCTAGTTTTGTCTGCTTCACAGAAACAAAGGCAGGATCCCTTTTACTTTGGTATTTATCCAATTAATCCCTTCCCCATCTCAGTCACCTTCAGTCCTATGTGTGAGCCCACTTTCCTGATACATAATGGTATAGTATCACACATTACATAATGTTGTCACATCAACTGTGTATGACTGTCTTTTACCTCAAAGCTACAAGATACTATTTCTTAGAGGAACCTTGACATTGCAATCATGAGTTTTTACATACACAAGCAATTCTTATAGGCAGCCTCAAGGTCTTAGCTTTTTACTGCTACTTAGCCCATTTTATAAAACTTGACATAATTTTCCTACAGTCCAACTATATTGGCACCTTTCCCATACTATGCTTTATTTGTAAGCATTCACACTTTTCAACACTGCTTAGACAAGTTCGCAATAAAGTCAATTTCAACAGTTAGTATTCTGGTTATGAGTCTAATACTCTTATAAATCGCTGCACTGTGATTTTAGCTACCAAGAATGTTGCAGTTATTTAGTAGAAATGCTGCATGCCAGGTTCCTCAAGCAGCTTTTTAAAAATTCATTAATGGGATTACGGCATTGCTGGCTAGGCAGTATTTATTGCCCATCCCTAATTGCCCAGAGGCAGTTCAGAGTCAACCACATTGCTGTGGGTCTGGAGTCACATGTAAGCCAGATGAGGTGAGGATGGAAGTTTCCTTCCCTTTCCATTAGTGAACTGTTATGTTTTAAGCTGACATTTGACATGGTGCTGGTCTTTGTGGTGTTAAGCCCCGTTGTACACTTTGTGTATTGGTGAACCCAAAATCAAACTACAGCAACACAAATTACACCTGTATTATACATATCTTTCAAATGGATATTTGGTTGTGCACAGGAGCCATAACTTAATTATTTGCAATAAAATCATTATGATCTGCAGTATATGATTTACAACCCACAGGCTATGGCCCATGCAACACGTGAGTGAGATAAAAAATGTGCATGCTTTAACCATGTTTACAGTGAAACATACTGATATTAATTAGGTAGTGGAAAAAGCTGTACTTAACAGCTCATTATATTCCTTTGTAGTATTGTTTCATTGCAATTGAAGTCAATGGAGTACTAATTACATTTGTTGTGGGTTGTGAGTTTGGAATGCTTTCTCTTTGATAGTTCTCTCTCTTTTCATTGGAATCATTCTTCATTAAAACACATGCTCAAGTTGTTTTCGTAAGGGTATAGTAAATGTCTTTCACTGGACTCAGGCAGAATGAATCCTAGCTCCAAAGAATTTCTAAGTATATAATCACATATTTGATTATGATTCAATAATCTTAGAAATTATTTAGTTTATTGATTCCAAACAGTAGTATTAAGTGTTTTCAAATCAGCTTTCTTTTCCCCTGACCCAACAAAAAAAAAATCCACAAATTCAATTAAAAAATAACTTGCAATAATATAGCATCTTGCATAATCTTAGGATATAGTAAAATGTTTTACCTCCAATTAAGTACTTTTGAAGTTAGTCAATACAGCAGCATGGGGAAACATGGCAGCTGATTTGTGCACAGAAATATTCCATGAATAGCAAAGAAAAAAATTACAATTATTAATTTCAGATGCTGGTGGAGGAATATATATTGGCTAGGACACTATTATATGATCTTAGCTTTTCCTTGAGAAATCTAAAGTCCACCTGAGATGGACAGAGGGTGCCTCAGTTTAATGTATTTTTCAAAAGATAGAATCTTCAATCGCACAACATACTCTCGGTAGTACATTGATGTGTCAGCATAGATTACTCTTTCAAGTGTTTCGAGTCGAATTTGAACCTTTTGCCTCAGAGAAGAGAATACCACCACTAAGTCAGTTTTGCTTAATAGTGAAACAGACCCAATTTGCTGTATTAATGTTCTTATTCGGTTTATAGCACTTCTGCTTATTTCTGAAGGGAGAGGTTAAGTGTAGTGGGAGTACGCGTAAATTGAGAAAATGCAATTTCAATCTCCAATCAAGTAGATAAAATGCTTATTTAATCAAGGTTTTCCAACCATGACGATTGTGGATCTTTCCTCCAATTCTGTTGCTGTTAGGGACAGGTGTACATGGCTCCATAAAGGATGTGGGGTTAAAATTGAATCAGAGACAGCAGGAACTGCAGATGCTGGAGAATCCGAGACAACAAGGTGCAGAGCTGGATGAACACAGCAAGCTAAGCAGCATCATAGGAGCAGAAAGGCTCCTATGATGCTGCTTGGCCTGCTGTGTTCATCCAGCTCTGCACCTTGTTGTCCATAAAGGATGTGTCAGGAAGTGCCCAATTGTAGCACAGGTCAGCTGCATTGCAGCAATGTCTATCATGTGGTGACTAAAGATGCAAAGTAAATGACTCGTGGTAATTCCAATATCTAACAGGGCTATAGATAACCGAGTATGGAGCTGGAGGAACACAGCAGGCCAGGCAGCATCAGAGGAACTGGAAAACTGACGTTTCAGGTTGGCACCCTTCTTCAGAAGGGTCCCGACCCAAAATGTCAGCTTTCCTGTTCCTCCAGCTCCACACTTTGTTATCTCTGACTCCAACATCTGCAGTTCTTGCTATCTAATAGGGCTATGTTTCTTTCAGTTTCAGGCCAAGAAAGAATAAGAGAACAATGCCCATTATTCAAAGGAGGGCAAGAGAGAAATCTCTGGGAATAGGAACAATTTTTTTTACAATTCACTCCCAGAAAACAAACTTTTAGAAGTTGTACAGCTTTAATCAAAGAAAAACAGTGGCAGTACTTGTCTAAGTGTCTGGATTACAAACTTTTATTTTACTTGACGTAATTTACGATGTGTGAAGTATTTCAAAACTTATCTTGATAAACATGATAAGATGTTATATAAATTCAAATTTTTCAAAGACTTTGTATTTACTTTATAAGTTAGTTTCAATCATCTTCCATTGGGGACAGATTTTATGAGGCTGTAATCAAATATTTTCCATCTACACAGGATCATGAACATGTAACAAAACGATTAGGCCTGGGGTAATTTCAGATGGTGCACTTTTGCTGATGGCTTAAGAGACCAATCCTGTGGTGCAGGTTCTGAACAAGTGGTTACCTCTTGTGTGGATCATTGGTTTCGGTGCTGGTGTCTGTTGCCAAGTTCACCTTGGGGTCACGTGGCAGCCGACAGACAATGTTGCCATCTCCCTCAGTGTTGGGAGGACACTGGAGGTAATTGGAAAGAAATAGAAATTAATTCACAAATGGAATGAAAATAGGGGAAATGGGTGAGAATTCTTAAGTACAAAGAGGAAATTGGGAGAAATGGGAGTGACAGTGCGAGGAAGTTAAAAGAAATGGGAGTAGAATTCTCAAATGGGTGGTAGGAGGAGAATGAGAGTGAGAATGAGTGAGAGGAAAATTTGGGGAATATGAGCGTGAGAATGAAGAAAATGAGAATTCTCTAAGCAAATACTGCCTCGAACCGCAGTGTCATCAGAGAAAAAGTGTCCCCTCCATTTTAAAGAAGAACACAGCACATCAAGGAACAAACAGAATGGAAAATATATTAATAATATTTCTGACATTACCCTGCTGTACTGCGAGCTCTCTCAAGCAGCGGAACACATTCGTCCGGCCCTCGGAATCCGGAACATCGACACCTCAGCTTCCGGGACTCGGGATGCATTTTTATTTTTGTTTTCTCCGTCGGTTTGTGTCAAAGTGAAATACGCGGAGGGGACTTGGAGCGGACTGTTCCTCCCTCCACAGACCACAGCCCGAGGCGGCCGGGAGAAAGCTAGGCCTCAGCCACCCCGAAGGAGGAAGAAGGTGGGTTAAATGTCAATTTTATGAGGCCAAGGATCTGAGTGACTCTTTCGGGCTTCAGCGCTGTCTATTCCCGGCACTGACCACCGCCATCCTCCGGCCCCGGAGCCGGTTGCTAAGGGAGCAAGGTGTCTACCTCCCGTTGCTACGCGGGGCCCCCTCCTCCAGTTGCTATGCGGCCTCCCCCTCCTCCAGTTGCTACGCGGGGCCCCCACCCCACCTCCCGTTGCTACGCGGGGCCCCCACCCCACCTCCCGTTGCTACGCGGGGCCCCTCCCGTTGCTATGCGGGGCCCCGGCGCGGAGGATGCATCCAGCTCCCGAGGAGATGTCTTGGTCTCGGGGAGATTGATGATAAATTGTCCGGGGATCCAGAGATTTCCTGTTTAAAATCTGCAGCGGACCAATGGGAATTGACGGAAACAACGAGGCCTTGGAGTTTAGAAGAGTCGAAGATGACTTGTAAGATGTAAGATCCTGAGAGAACTTGACCTGGTGGACGATTTCTTCTTGTGGGAGAATCTAGAGCTAGGGGTCACGGTTTAAAAATAACAGATCACTCATTTAAAATGGAAGATGGGGCGGGGGTGGAGGTGAAATGAGTGTCTCTGAAATTCTTTTTATCAAAAAAGAGTGGATGCAGAATCTTTACATTTTGTTTGAGGAAGCGGTAGCTGGATACTTGATGACCAAGGGAATGAAAAATTATCAGGGTCTGCAGGAATCTGGAGCTAAGGTTAAAATCAGATCAGCCATGATTTTATTGAATGGTGGAGCAGGCTGAAAGGGCCAAGTTAATGGCAGGGCCTGGAGAGTGTTGTCGAACACTGGAGAGACTTACGGGTTCAAGTACATATCTCCTTGTAAGGGGCGTGACATGTAGACAGGTTGGTGAAGAAGTTATTTGACACGCTTGCCTTCATTGGTCAGAGTATTGAGTATAGAAGTTGGGACATCATGTTATGGTTGTACAGGACATTGGTGAGGCCACTTTTGGAGTACTACGTATGATTCTGGTAGCCCTGCTAATAAGAAGGATATTATTAAGTTGGAAAGGATGCAAAAACAAATTTACAAGTATGTTACTGAGACTGGAGGATTTGAGTTATGAGGATAGGCTGAATAAGCTGGGATTTTGTTCATTGGATCATAGGAAGTTAAGGAGTGACCATATAGAGGCTTATAAAATCATGAGGGGCATAGATAAGGTGAATAGCAAAGGTCTTTTCTTTAGGGTAGGGGTGTTCAAAACTAGAAGGCATATTTTTAAGATAGCAAGAACTGCAGACACTGGAGTCAGAGATAACACAGCATGGAGCTGGAGGAACACAGCAGGCCAGGCAGCATGAGAGGAGCAGGAAAGCTGACATTTCAGGTTGGGACCCTTCGGTGAGAGGGGAATTATTTAAAAGGGACCTGAGAGGCAATGTTTTCACACACAGGGTGGTTCGTATGTGGAATGATCTGCCAGAGGAAGAGGTGGATTCAGGTACAGTTACAACGTTTAAATGACATTTGGACAGGCACATGAATAAGAAAGGTTTAGAGGATTGTGAACCAAATGCAGGCAAATGGGACTAGTTTAGTTTGGGAGAGCTAGGTGGCGTGGACGAGTTGGACCGAAGGGTCTGTTTTGGTGCTGCATGATACTACGACTCGATAAGTGGCCTACTTTTATTCCTTATTGGTACATATGCATTCTGGCACCCTCTGGTTGGGGTGGATATGCACACAAACCAATTTGTTTCCTTTTCCTGGACAATCTTCCAGTGGAACAGGATGTGTAAGGAAATATTCAAATTTCCTCACTTGAAATCTTTAAGACCCATCTTTAGATGTTATTTCCATTTAAAAGTTTCTCATTAATATTGCTACTGTATCAGCAGATCATGTTGCATTCCCTCATAATTTTAAATAGTTTTTGCAAATCTCTGTCCTCACCCTCCCCAACATCCCACACACACATATCATCTCTGTTGTAGTGAAATAGAAAATCTTATCACATACATAGGCAGAACAAGGGCAGGCTAAATGATTAAGTCTTTCTGACAGCTAATTTGAAACCATGACTTGAGGCAGGTAACTTTCCAAATTTTATAGTAATGCATAGCAACCAGTATTGCTCACAGGAAGTAGTTGGAATCTGTTGCAAATATATTACAAGAAATCAGGATTTTTTTTTTAAAGTTCACATTTCAGGTCAGAAAATTGGAACAATTGCAGTCTTGTGGTGAAGAAGATGTTATACTTTTGCATGCTGAGGATGCACCTGAGCTGGAATGGTTTATGGACGGCATATGTAAGATTTAGTGTTCACTTCCCCTTACCCCTACACCTTTCTAAAATCTTCTCAAAACCAATTTATATGCTAAAGAATTCAGCCATCCTTCCTAACCTTATTCTCCCATGATTTTATATTTTTTATAGCACTTGTTCCTTTTTTTTTTACTTTAAAGATGTTTTTTAAATGCATGCTGTTGTGTCAACATAAATTCAGCACATGATTCTTGATTCAAACCATGATCCTTGATAAAAGGGGATCTCGAAACAGAACCCTGGATGTCATAGAGTCATACAGCCTGGAAACAGACCCTTCGATCCAACTAGTCCACGCCGATCATGTTGTAGGAGTCGGGATGCCGTATTGAGGTTGTACAGGATGTTGTTGAGGCCACTTTTGGAATACTGTGTATAGTTCCGGTTGCCCTGCTATAGGAAGGATTTTATTAAATTAGAGAGGGTTCAGAAAAGATTTACCAGGATGTTGCCAGGACTTGAGGGTTTGAGTTATAAGGATAGGCTGGAACTTTTTTCACAGGAGATTGAGGTTGAGGGGTGACCATATAGAGGTTTATAAAATCATGAGGGGCATAGATAAGGTGAATAGCAAAGATCTTTCCCCTTGGGGTGGGGAGGGTTGTAAGTTCAAAACTAGGGAGCATATTGATAAGGTGAGAGGAGAAAGATTTAAAAGGAACTGGGGAGCAACTTTTTCACACTGAGGGTCGTTCTTATTTGGAATGAACTGCCAGAGGATGTGGTAGATTCAGGTACAGTTACAACATTTGTAAGACATTTGTATAGGTGCATGAATAGGAAAGGTTTTGAGGGATGTGGGCCAAACGCAGATAAGTGGGACTAGTTTAGTTTGGGATTATGGTTGTCATGGACTGGTTGGACCAAAGGGTCTGTTTCCTTACTGTATGACTCTATGACTATAAAACACAGGCACAACAATATACACCTAAAGTTTAAGCTAGGTCAGAGAAGCAAAGGATCGGTTACTCAGGAGTTTGACATGGCTGGGAAAGACAGCAGCAACATCAATATGTGTTGCTGACCATGCTAGTATTAGTACCCATCTCTAATTGCCAGGAGGGCAGTTAAGCATCAAGCCATTGCTGTGAGTGTTCAGTCACATGTAAGCCAGATCAGGTAAGAATGACAGACTTCTATCCTTAAAGTACAAGTATTGACTTGGTCCTGGATACTCTCTTTCCTGATTTTCAACCTAGTAAAAGGAAATATTTGCAATAATACCAACACCCATTTCTTAAAATTATGACACTTAAGAACAGGTTACTCAGTCAGCTAAGAAAAAAATGTGATGGATACATGGTTGAAAACTGATTACTCTCTCTTTCATGAGATCTGTGGGGGGAAGAGTTCAAAACTAGGAGGCATATTTTTAATGTGAGAGGGGAAAGATATAGAAAGGACATGAGGGGCAACTTTTTTATAATATGAGTGGTTAGCGTGCGAAATGAACGGCCAGAGAAAGCGGTGGATTCAGGTACAATTACAACATTTGAAAGGCATTTGGACAAATACGTGAATGGGAAAGGTTTGGAGGGATATGGGCCAAATGTATGCAGGTGGGACTGGTTTAGTTTGAGAACATGATCAGCGTGGACTAGTTGGGTCAAAGGGTCTGTTTCAATTTTCTAATCTTCCAAGTTTGGGCTGAGTAACTATTTGTTATCTGTGAGTTGTGCTATTCAAAACAAAAAGAAAGTAATGTGTTCTTTTATGTGATTGGAAATCCATAGCCTTTCGATTTAATGTGGAATAAGCCTCCAGATATGAACTTATTCATTTTGTAACATTGCAGTTCTTGAGTATTATAAGTGCTGAAATTGTATAATTTGCAAATTAAGAATGTTCTGAGGTTTGAGAAAGTTCTGTAAATAAATTTCCCATTCATTCTATTCAATTAGATCACCCCTAAAGCTAGGGCAAATTTATCTTCATTTATCTCAAGAGATTCACTTTAACTCTTTAAGACCTGAATAATTTTGCTGAAGCTGCACCATTACCCTCCAGAACAGTACATTATTCCCAAGGTACCATGCCCAAAATTGAACATGATACTCTTAATGGGTTCCAAGTCTTTATACCATTGCAGCATCAATTCCTCTCATTTGTATTCAATTTGTGATAAAGGCCACAAATGTTGTTGATGTCTTTCTATGCCAATGCACCAATACCCTTTGCTCTTACTTAGTTCCTCACCATTAAGAAAATATTCTGATTTGACTTTTTTGAATTTGACAGTTGTAGTCCCAACACTAATCTTATTCCTTTTAGAATGTTCTCCTCTCACTTGGACTTTTTCGTCCACTAAATCTTTGCATTTTGGGTTAGAATGGAGTAGCAATTTATTGTCATGTGTATTTTCACAAAAAAAAGTGAAAAGTTTTATAAATCGCCATACAGTGGCAACTAAGTTAATGACAGAAGTCATAAATAAGAGGAAAATAAAATAAAAGTTCATCACAGTTCAATTAACTACTCCTGGATTCGGGGTATGCTGGAAAACTGGGCTGAGACCTTCATGCCGGGACTAGACCTTAATGCCGGCTTGTGTAGATCTCTTCTTCCATTTCAGTCCTTTTTGCATGTTTTGTTTGCTTTACTAGAGCTTTTGCCTTTGACAGGTACATACAGCATTTGCATTGAAACAAATATTACTTTGAGTACTTCCCTTTTGTTTGTGGATTTAACCATTAGTTGTTCAAACCAATTTACAATGGTGAATTTGCTGTTTAGCTTTTCAAATTTTCACTTGTGTAATTAAAAACCTTGTCTTACGAGTGATTTTCTTGTGCTCAAATCTTGTATATACTCCAGGCAAATTATGTTCACTATTCACAATATGTTCCCTTACTGTGAGATACTTAACAAGTTCTGATTTGTTGCTCATCATAAAATCTATTCTTGCTTGTTCTCTTGTATGTTCTGAAATGTTTGTGGCAAAAAAAATCTTCTATAGAATTGTAGAGATTTTGCCACCTTTACCAGTTCAGTTTTTCTGCTTCTCCCAGTCTAATGAAATCTCTCATAATAACCACATTACTTTTGCTTTATGCTTCTCTGCTCTGCAAGTTTATACAGCCCCGATGTCATTAGTGTCAGGAAGTCTCCAGACAGTTCCTAATCAAATCTTGCATCCTTTCCTGAAGTATAAATGAAAGGGAGGTCTCGCTGCGATCATCATTTTATTGTGATGACAAAGGATCCTTGTTTTTCCTCAGTAGGCGGAACACAATGCTCCTGAATGACCAGAAGAGATACCATAACATCAGAGGTAAAATCTGTGCAAACAACTAATGACATGTTTGTATAGAGTATGGGAGAGAGTTAGTCATTTGGAAGGTTAGAACATGTCTGGCCTAATCAACATGTCTGTTTTTGTAAATAGATTGTCTTATTTTTAAAAGCTTCACAATTTTGATGTTATTAGACATTAGAAAATAATTACCTGAAATTCCCATTTAAGAATATTTAAGAATATCAGTTTATTTTAACTATTTTTATCTTTTCTCCAGCACCAGCATTTCAAGTCACCATAATCCCACTCAGTTTAATTGTGATCTTAATAAACAAGATCATTATTTGCTTTTAAAAAATTCCTTTCTCGTACAGATTTTATCTCCTGTCACTGAGCGTCCATCTTGCTGGAAATGAATGAAACACCAAGTAAAATGTCAAACTCTGAAGGGCTACCATTAGCAAGAGAAATGCAAGACCTTCAAAATCGATTTAATGCAATGATGCATACAATCAACAGCAACTCAAAGGTATGATATCCCACATATATGTCATTATCACTTCTGGTCTAAGCAGAATTATTAAGTCAAGGGTCTTGCAGGGTACTTAACAATAACAAAATTCTCTTAATATTTATATGATCCCCTAGAGATCAATATCTTTTTAAAAGGTGTATCATTTCCCCAGTGACTGATTCAGGATCACACAACAAAGATTTTCATGGGTTTTAAGACTGGAACTATAACAATCAAGCTAAAATCAAAATAGTTCTGAAGCGTCATACCAGACTCAAAACGTTAACTCTGTTTTTGTCTGCATAAATGCTCCCAGACCTGCAACATTTTTTGTTAGTAGGCAAAGAATGCACTAAACCACGGAAAATGTATGCCCCTGTCATTTTGTAACAGGGCCAAAACCCCATTCTGCATCTATATAATTATTATTCCGTGGGCTTGCATGCATCTATACATTGCACCATACTCACTGACAACGTGCAGTCTTGAATTTAAAGTCTTGAGCTCCTCACGGCTCAAATAGGATCTCTTCTTGCTTTACCAAGGTGAATTTTCCTTTTAAACAAACATCCTTCTATCAACCCTGTGAGCATAATTGAGTGGCTTTCCTGTTGCATGGTATCCTCTGGTAATTCCATTTTTTTTTTAACTCCTCACAAATCTATTTTGCCTCGGACACAGATACCATTCCCACCAACCCTCCACTTGGTGGTTAATGCAAAAGCACTCCTTAACTTCTGCCTGGTTTAGCAGCACCTGTTTGGGTCTCCTTTCCCGGTCTGATTGCCTGCAAGAATCCAGGAATCTGCACATGACACAAAGAGCTGCTGTCTCCTTTGTATCTAGATGTTACTAGTTTGTTCCTTGCTTTCAGTAGGTTTTGACCTGAGGAGCTATCCCTGGACTTGTCTTCACATGATTTCATTTACTGCTCTCCACTGCTCCATTTTACCTTGTATGTAAGGAGGCAGCTCATAACATATCATCTGATAACACCCCACAGATATTGCAGAGATGCCAATTGTATGGTATTGGGTAACTGAATGAAAGAAAAATAATGCCTTTGGCATCAATAACGTGTAATAATATATGAATATTAAAGACATCCTCTATTCAGAGAAAAAAAGTTTTTGAACTAAGCAAATACATTTTTCCAAGTATTATTCACTAATCCAGAACTTCAGTTGGTGATCCATGTTTACTTGACTAGAAACTGACTGAACTAAAACATACAACTTACATGCCAACATGTTTTTTTGTAAAACACAGTGTGGAGCTGGAGGAACACAGTTCCACACTGTGTTATCTCTGAATCCAGCATCAGCAGTTCTTACTATCTCTGATGTACTTTTGTATAGCTAGGTACTATCTGAGTGAAAATGTGTTTTGAACAAGCTGCAGCTTGCCATTTCTTCGGTAACTACTACATACGTTCAGCTTTGCGTAGTTACATGCCATTCTTAAAATGAGTGTAGCTTGAATAAATTATTAATCCTCAATTAACTAATCACACAGAATTCTTCCGTAATAGTCTAACTTGGCACCAATGTGTTTGTATAAGTCAGAAACCTACTACAAAAGGGTCTTGTTATAATCCCATTGAATGGTGGGGTGCAGGTTCATAGTTCCTTGAAAGCGGAGTCACAGGTAGACAGTGTAGTAAAGAAGGCATTTGGTATGCTTGCCTTTATTGGTCAGTGCATTGGATATAGGAGTTGGGAGGTCATGTTGCAGCTGTACAGGACATTGGGTAGGCTGCTTTTGGAATACTGTGTTCAGTTCTGGTTTCCCTGCTACAGGAAGGATGTTGTGCAACTTGAAAAGGTTCAGAAAAGATTTACAAGGATTTGCCAGGGTTGGAGGGTTTGAGCTAAAGGGACAGACTGAATAGGCTGGGGTTATTTTCCCTGGAGCTTTGGAGGCTGCAGGGTGACCTTACAGAAGTTTATAAAATCATGATGCACGTGGATAGGGTGAATAGCCAAGGTCTTCGCCCCCAGGATGGGGAGGTCCAAAACTAGAGGGCGTAGGTCTAAGGTGAGAGGGGAAAGATTTACAAGGGACCTAAAGGGCAATTTTTTTCACGCAGGAAGTGGTGCATATGTGGAACGGGCTACCAGAGGAAATGTGTGTGTGTGTGTGTGTGTGCGCGCATGTATGCATGCGTGCACATGCACGTGTGTATATAATATATGTGAATGTGAATGAAGTTGATGAATATATTATGTAATTATATACCTTTAAAGTTTCTCATTCAGCTGGAATTAAACTAAGAAATCAGCCAGTCAAAATCATGAAATGGATAATACATTCACAATTCACTATTTTGTTCACAATTACCTGTTTGTTTAATTTGTTGGCTAGAAAATTGAAATTCTAATGAACTGAGTCAATTAACTGAAAAATCTTCAGAAACACAATGGTAACAGCACGGAAGAGGACCATTTGATCCATCTTGATTCAGAATTTTACCTAGTGCCCGCCCTCGCCTTCTCCATGACACCCTACACATCTTTCCTTTTCAGATAATCATCCACTTCCTTTTGCCTTGATGGAACCTACTTCCACCACACTCTCAGACACCACATTCCAGATTCTAACCACTCTCTGTGAAGAAGTTTCCCCTCGTGTCTCCATTGTTTCTTTTGCCAATTATCTTAAATGTATGTCCGACTCCTTCTAGATTGGTATATCAATGGGAAGTGTTTTTCCCTACTCTGCCAACACTGCTGATAATTTTTGAACACTTCCATCAAATCTAACTAATCACATCTGACTCTGCGGTGCTTCCAACTTTTTAGTATATTTCTGTTGGTTGATGTTTTCTGATTATGACTGACTTTTGTCAAGAGGTTTATTGGATGTGTACATGAATATGTATTCTATGAAAAGAACAACCCAGCAGTTTTGGATTGAAAAAAAAACAGTTAAACTGAATAACGTTAAATTCTTGTTTGATATTTGAGACTGGACGTCTCACCATCGGATATTAGCTGAATTATTATAGCTTTGGAATCCTGATTAAGCTGGAGAAAGCATCAAGTTCAGTTTACAATCAGCCTAACTAAGAGTAGCTGTGTTCACAACCTTAATTTACCAAGAACTCAAAGACTCCATCTCTACCTAATTGTGCATTTTGTTAGAGCTTTGAACTGAAACCAAGATTGAATTTTTTTTAACTAAACATAAATGGGTGTTTTACAGAAGTTTCATTAATTGTATATATACGTATTAAAATTAGTCAATCAATGTTGCACATTCCACTACTCTATACAACCTAAGTAGTGGAAGATCAAATCACATTTGTGATTTATAAGTCATAAAGGCTCTGTCACAGCTGGAATAGGCCATTGGACTAACTTATTAATGAACTGAGACTATTAGTGAATACATGGTTTTCTTTTAAATTGCACATAATTTCAGAATACTGAAAATGATCTAAAATTTTAGTGCGATCTGCTTACTAAATTAAGGCACCCGCTGAGCTGTGACAAAATAAAACTAGAAACAAAACCACCAGGCAGCTCATTGGTTTAGGGGTGTGGTTCTCACTGCTGTGAGAGGTGAGAGGTTTCAGTGCAGAAAGAAGAAAGTTTTCCTCCAGCTGGACAGGGTCTTGGTGAGACAAGATGTGGAATATTGTGTGTGGTTTTTGTCTCTTCACCTAAGTAAAGATTGCTCTTATGTTCTGTGTATCTATATGAAGAGAGTTGAAGAAAAATTGATCAGAAATAGGATTTCAGAAGATTTTAGGGATGAAATTCCACAGGTTAGGGCTAGACAATAAGGTATGGATATTAAAAATGGGACAAAAAGATGTCAGTGTGCATGAGCTGATGGAGCATATGTTCCCCATCATGGCAAGAATGAGTATGAGAATTTTAAATGTCTACTGCAGGTAGTTTGGGAAATGTATCACCTTAAATTGAGAACTAATCATACAATTGCTTTCCTTTGGTAAACTGAAATTCTATGATCCCAGCCTTACAAAGAATGATTTCATATCTTAATCTCTGTTAATCTGTTGGTTTTGCAGGTTGCAGCTTTCATGAGCACCTCTGTGGGTCAGTACCTGGATGACCACCCTTTCCTTGCATTATTGTTGCTGATTTTTACCATAATGGCAGCCGTGCCAGTCGGTTTATTCCTGATTTTCGCAGTGATTACATCCCTCTTGGCTTGCATTGGTTTCATTGTGATGGAAGGTACTGAATTCCACAAAAGGTTTATTTATGTAAATGCATCATTAAAACCTACCATCTCATAATTCTATTTATTACTAAATTTGGAGTGACAGTGGGGAATTGTGCATGGATGGCTATAGTATAATTTCCAAATATAAGAATGGATATGCTCAAATTTTCTATGCCCTTCTGTTTTTATTCCCTTGTAAAAATTGCTTAAAAATGAAAACAAAAGTATTAGGATAATCTGATTAGTCATTTAGTTGAATGTAGAGAGTATTGTTTGTCTTGTTTGAGGTCATGGAAGATGGGCTCTGAACCAAGTTAATGCACATCATCTGTGTAACAGATTTAAAAAATCCCGTAGGAGGAGAGCCTCTCATTCTGATCGATCTCATTTCAGCCCATTGAGCACACTAGTTTTAGTGAAGAATAGTACACAGGAGTTTCCTAAGGTTTGTCACCTAGACAACAATTTCACATGTGTTTTGATATAGAGTCAGACAGCACAGAAACACACCTTTCAGTCCAACCAGTCCACACCTACCATACTCCCAATCTAAACTGGTCCCACCTGCCTGCACTTGACCCTTAGCCCTCCAAAAATTTCTTATTCATGAACTTATCTAAAGGCTTTGTAAATGTTGTAACTGTACCCGCATCCATCACTTCTGGAAGTTCATTCCAAGCACGAACCACTCTCTGTGTTTAAAAAAAAGCCCCTCATGTTTGTTTTAAATCTTTCTCCTCTCACCTTAAAAATATGCCCCCTAGTCTTGAAATTTCCCACCTTAGGAAAAGACGCCTGCCATTCACCTTATCTATAACCCTCATTATTTTATAAAATTCTATAAGGCCACCTCTCAACCTCCTATGCTCCAGTGAAGAAAAGTCCCAGCCTATTTAGCCATATGCACGGGCCTTCTGTCTGTAGGACCGTGCATTTGAAGGAAGATTTCAAAAATTGAACAATTTGAATTGGAGTGACAGAAAATCCAACATAATACCTATTAGTTTATTTTCAAGGCTTAAGTGAAACCTGTAATATTGAAGTGTAATGAGAAACCTGTACTTACTGTACAGATTACTAAAACAATTACAATGACCTTTCTAATGCAATGTGTACATGTTCTAGCCACATTAGCATCAGAACAGCTTCCTATACGTTCGAGGTTATTTTCATTCTTTATTAGTCAGTTGCTTAATTCTAGATAGTGTAATTTACTGTTTTGTCTTTATCAAGATATTTTCTTTAGAAGAAAAGTAATGTACATCTCTCTGACATAGTAAAAATAAACATTTTACCAAAAGCAATATCCAGATTGAGAGTTCACCTATCTACAAAAGAATTGAAAAGTATAGCAACATAAGTTTAGTCATCAGGTCTCCTGCATTGACATGGTATCTGTATAAAGCATTCAGCTTTTTGTATAACTCAGGACTTTTTTTATTCAATTATCTACCAGGTCTGATGCTGTCGATAGGTGGTGTTGTCCTCCTTTGTTTTTTATGTGGGTTAGTTCTCATTTCACTGATCATCACTTCTTTTCTGGCTGTCTGCTTTTTTACCTTCTCCACAACAATGAATTATTATCACAATTTAAGGTATGGACATTTCATTAAATATTTAAATTCTGTTTAATCTCTAGGAAATTTAATGTGTTAGTTTGTTAACATTTTGAGCTACTTTAATTTTAAGTGTAATTAAATATTCTAAACCTGTATGGAAGGATATTTGTAAAAACGTATTTCTTGTAGATGCTAAATCTAGTATCTACTAATGCTAGATAATTAATATCTACCAACACATACTCAAACATGAAACATTACATTTGTTTAATTTTAAACAAATTTTTTTAATGCTATTTATTGGCATTTTAAGAACACAACTCACTCAGGTGGTGGAATTCCTTCTGCTGTTGTCTACTCATGAGAAAGTTTGTGTCAGTATAATGTGCCGAATGTGTATGAAATTTAGCACAATTTTTGACAGAAGCTTGAACTTAAGGAATGGAATTGAATCCAATCCTAACGACCTTGCTTTTTTGGCCACCAAAGAGATCTAGCATCAATAAGAAAGCAAGCATTGCAACGTATAAAATTTCACCATCATCCATTTGGAACTAATGCCACAAAACCAGACTCATCCCCAAGAAGTTTAGACAACGCCCCTCTGTCTGAGATTTGGGGAGAATGTGAAGTTTACCACAAAATGGAATCGTCGACTAATCCATTGGGGGAATGATTTGGGTCAAACCCATTTCCAGTTTTAACTTCAGTCACTCATGACAAACCAGTCAATCTGGAAGCTATAGGTAAATATATGGAAATTATTGGTAATATATGGCATGAAACAAGACCACAGGATCAGGAGTAGGCCATCTTGGCCTTTACTCCATTCAGTGAATTCATGGCTGATTTGCCTAACTCTACATGCTCACCTTTGTCCTGTTTTCATTAAGCCAAATATCTCTCACTCTCAGCTATAAAATTAATCCTTTTGTAAGCATCAGTTGTTATTTGTGAAGGAATGTTCCAAACTTTAACCACCTTTTGTCTAGACGTGTTTTCTAATTTCACTTAGATTATGCACCCTTATCCTAGATGCTTAACCAGCAGAAATAGTTTCTGTATATCTAATCTGCGTATTCCCCTTAATATCCTGAAAATCACACTTCAACTTTCTAAATTCAAGCCTGTGCAGCTTGTCAAACTTATAAGATATTCAATTTGATCTTTTTATTTACATTTTAAAATATACACTTCCATTCACTTGCCTTTGTCCCTTTCCCTGAACCAAATGCAGTTTAGAAACTAAATGGAAACTGCACACATCTCCAGTGCCCTCAAAAAGCCCTGCAGTGAAACCAGCCAGATTTACCAGCTAGCTCTTGGTGGAGGGTGGTGGTAGGTGTTGTCATATTGGAGAATGGTCTCTTATGGTCTCTTACTTTGTGTCCAATTGAAGGACTGGCCTCAAGGTTGGGGGTTGGATTGCTGAAAGTCCATGCCTCATGACCCTCACCTGCCTTCATTGCTGTGATTGCCTGCTGTTCCTCCATGACCCTGGGTATAGTGCTGTGAGTTCCCACAGCTCAGGCTTGTGTAGGCAGCATGAGGAGCTGCCAATCTTGGATTGGCTGACAGCTTTTGCTGGGCAAGCCTTCTGCCTCTGGGAACTCACTTGTGGGGAAGACCAACAGTGGCTAATGATACGACACAGACCCGTTGATTCACTCAGACCACCCCACAGAACTGATGTGGTTCCGCACCATTCAGCAACTTGTGGGTGAGACCCCCATTGGCTCAACAAAATCCCAACCAGTGTTTTCATTTCAAATTTCCGGTATTTGCATTGTCTAGTCTTTTGATTATGGGGTAGACTCTAGTGTGTTTGCATCATGGGGAATTATGCAGTTGTTCAGCACTTGTCAAAACCATTACATTTTTTTCTTATCCCAATTGTAATTTTAGCTGTATTTAGTAACTCAGCAGATGTATTTGAGTTAAATAATACAGATTGTTGCTGATGTTATTACCTTTCTCTAAGCACTCCAAGTAAAGAAGAAGAAGCTGTCAGCTACTCAGCAATTTCATATCCAGATGAGACTGAATCCAAATCTACCCTGAAGAAGGATTAGATTGCAAAATATTCCTGTAGTTTCTGTTAAGTTGTATTTATGTAAAACAACTCTATTTGCACTAATCTCCTTTCATGAGAAGTTTGTTTTTGCTTTCAATACGTGTTACACTTTTGTTAAGAGCAGATGTTCATCTTCCCAATTTTTCAGCATTTTTGTTTGTGTAATGTCATTCTGAATGAGAACTTTTGTACACTTTAACCTATATATTTTACTATAATTACTGTATAACATGGAAACCTGGTCATTAGATACAGAAAGACTATATATTGTATCTGTATCAGCAATGATTGGAGTTATACTTAAGCATTCTAAGTGATGGTAATATCCTCAATATATTAATAAAACAGATACTTAAAGCAATAACAAATGTTTTTGATCCATTGCTTATTTTATACTTTTTGAAAGAGACCAGAAGGGTCTAGACCGGAAACGTCAGCTTTCCTGCTCCTCTGATGCTGCTTGGCCTGCTGTGTTCATCCAGCTCTACACCTTGTTATCTCAGATTCTCCAGCATTGGCAGTTCTGACTATCTGTTAAAAATACAATTGTTTAGTGAATATTTACTATTTGGATTGCACTGAATGGAGCAAAGTGGGCTGTTGAATTACAACTTATGAAGTCTGGACTAGAGAGAATGACAGTTTCTGCTGTGTGGCAGTTAACAGTTTGAAGACACTGTTAAAATAAACAAGTAGTATGGAAAGTCTAAGTTTTTTTTATTTATTTGTGGGATGTGGGTGTCGCTGGCTGGGCAAGCATTTATTGCCTGTCCTTGGGAAGGTGTTGGTGAGCTGCCTTCTTGAACCGCTGCAGTCCACCTTCTGTAGGTTGACCCACAATGCATTAGGGAGGAATTCCAGGATTTTGACCCATCGATAATGAAAGAACAAAGTTGAGAGGGCGGATAGTGTTGTGAATGAGGATTAATGCATACAAAGCAAGACCTGTTGCAACTAATACTTCCCTAATCTCTCATTTAATTATTGAATCTACAGAGAACAAAATACGCCTTTTAATTATTCATCCTCATGACGTGGACATCACAGGCTAGGTATTAATTGCCTTGGAGAAAAGGGTGGTGAACAACCTTCTTAAACCCACTGCAGTCCATGTTGTGTAAGTATGCTACAATGCAGGAGGGGGTTCCAAAATTTTGACCCAGTGACACTGAACAAATAGTCATGTGCTTCCAGCATAGTGTTTGGTTTGGAAGGGAATTTGCAGGTGGTGGTGTTCCCATGTATCTTCTGCCCTTGTCCTTCTAGATGGTAGTGGTTATAGAAGGTGATGTTGAAGGAGCCTTGGTCACTTGCAGCAGTGCATTTTGCAGATAGGACACATTGCTGCCACTGTATCAGTTGTAAAGGGAGTCAGAATTGAATATTGTGAATGGAGTGCCAGTCAAGTGTATTGTCCAGCATGGTGTTGTCTTTGACAATGAAACTGCTACCAGCCAGATAGCCCTGAAGAGCACTGGGGATTTGTTAAAGTCAAAAGTAGCTTATCAATGAGAAATATTAAATGGAAAAAAATTGAGTGCCTTATATTATTGGCACAGTACGCATGTTGTGCCAAATATTGCTTGTTCTGGGCCTAATTGAAATGTGCTGTTGTACCAGCGAGATTTGTAATCACCATTTTCACTGTGGTCCTGCAGTTTTTAAATTAAAATTATGTAAGTTTTGTTGGTTTATAAATAATAAACAGATAAATGGTAAAATTCAATTGATACAAATTGCACTAGCTCCAAAGTTAAGACTGAACCACTTTCTGGTGTAGTTTCACTGTGCTTATATTGTGGATTCAAATACCAAGAATTGAACAGTACAATAATCAATGTGTTTTAAATTATCATATTGTATGTACATAAGTAAAAGGATATTCTGTTGCATGGAAACCGTAGAAGTTGTAGGTTTGCATTGTACAGTTGATGCCTGATGTACACAAAACTGTATTTTTAAAGGCCCAAAAAGTAAAATACCAATTAAAGTAATTAGCTGCTGAATGATTTTAGGTATCGATTTGGCCACAGTTCACGTAATCTCGAGGGAGTAAACATTTTAAATCAATTTACCAAGACACCAGACTTGTTATTAAATAGAATTTTATTTGCCCACGGGTATGATCAGCTTTGTATTTCCCCACAATTAATATTTGCAAAAGTACAGAACCGATTACGAAAGAATGGTGACAGAAGTAAATCTGTACCAAACATATGAACAAGGTGCAGGAGTAGAGCATTCAGTCTCTTAAACCTGCTGTGCCACTCAATAAGACCATGGCTGTTCTGATTGTAACCTCAAATCCACATTCCTGCCTACCCTAATAACTTTTTAACCTCTTGGTTTTCACAAATCTATCCACCTCAGCCTTAAAAGTATTCAAAGCCTCTTCCTTAAAAGGTAGAGGGTTCCAAAGACACTCAACACTATGGGAGAAACCAAAATCACCTAATCTGTCTTATAGGTTGGTGGTACCTCACTGCCTCTGCCCCCCAACCCCCCAAGTTCGAGGTACTCCTTTAAGAGGGAACATCTCCACAGCTACAATATCAAGACTCATCAGGACTATCTCTGCTTCACCAAGTCACCTCTTGCTCTGCTACGTATAATTAGGTTTAATTAGTGAGTTTGCAGATGTCATGAAAATTGGAGGTGTTGTTGATAGTGAGGAGGATGGTCTCAGGTTATAGTCTGATATTACAAAGCAAAGAACTACTGATGCTGAAGATCTGAAACAAAAACAAATTCCTGGCAAAACTTGGCAGGTCTAGCAGCCTCTGTGGGAAGAAAGCAGAGTTAAAGTTTCGAGTCCAGTAACTCTAATTCTGATGTTGGACTTGAAACAATATCGCTGCTTTCTTCCCATAGAGGCTGCCAGACCTGCTGAGTTTCACCAGCAATTTCTGCTTTTGTTAGTCAACTGGTAAATTTGGCAAAGCAACGACAGATGCAATTTAATCCTGATCAGTGCAAGGTGATGCATTTTAAGAGCTCAGATAAGGGAAGGATATACACAATAAATGGCAGGTCCCTGAGGAGTACTGAGGAACCAAGAAACCTTGGTGTCCAAGTCCATAGATCCCTGAATGTGACAGCACAGGTAGGGTAATGAAGAACCCATGTAAGATGCTTGCCTTCTTTTACTAGGGCATAGAGAACAGGAGCAACAAGGTATTGTTAAAACTTTATAAAATATTGGTTAGGCCCCAGATGGAATTCTGTGTGCTGTTCTGGTCACCACACTATCAGAAGGATGTGATTGCAAAGGAGAGGTGCAGAGGAGATTCACCAGGATGTTGCCTGGAACAAAAAATCTTAGTTATGAGGAGAGACTGGATAAGCTGAGTCTGTTTTTGTTGGAGCATAGGAGGCTGAAGGGGAATCTGACTCAGGTATACAAAATTCTGAGAAGCGTGGACAGGGTAGATCATGAGAATCTTTATCCCCATGGCAAACATGTCTAAAGACCAGAAGACACAAATTTAAGGTGACAGGTAACTGATTTAGAGGAGATCTAAGGAAAACTTTTTTTCACCCAGAGGGTGGTAGTAATATCAAATGCACTGTATGAGAGCATGGGAGAGGCAGGTACTCTCATAACATTGAAGAAGCATCCAGATGAGCACTTAAAATACCAGGCATAGTAGGCTGTGGACCAAATGCGGATAAATGGGATTTACTGTTGTTTGGTTTTTGCTGGTCAGCATATGCCTAGCAGGCCAAAGGGCCTGTTTCTATGTTGTATGACTCTATGACTAAACTCCAGCACATACAAGACTCACCTGTTCAACCATGCCCCAGAAGTCAAAACATGCATTTAAGGTGTTAGCTTTAACTGTTTCCAATCCAGTTATGTCCTTAAATAAGGTAGCCAATCCTGCACAAAATACTCTAGATATTATCTCGCCAGTGCCCACATAACTGAAGTATAACCTCCATACTTTTGTATTCAATTACTACGTGATAAAGAATAACATCTTATTAACTATTGTAATTAATTGTGTACCTTAATTCTAATCTTCTATGATTCAAGCATCTGACACCCAGATCCCTCTGCATTTTAGAGTTCTGAAATTTCACCATTGAGATAATTTGCTTTTTTTTCTGCCAAACTGGACAGATTCACATCTTTTTTTCCCCATTTTCCACATCTTTGTTCATTCAGTTAACCTATTTATATCTTTTTGTAGCTTCTTTACGTCTTTATATGGCTTATTTTCCCAGCTATCTTTGCAACTCAGTGGCTGGTTGGCTTATTTATGATGAAGAGTGATACCATGAAGGAATGTCCTTGTCAACCTCTCCCCTTGCTTTGAGGTGTGGTGACCCTCAGGTTAAACAACCGCCAGTTGTTTCTCCTTAATGAGAAAGTAGCCCTATGGTCTGGTAAGAGTATGGTTACTTTACCTTGCATCATAACAAACTTGGCAATTATGTCTTCCAACTCTTCATCTAAGTCATGTGTATAAATGATGTACAAGTGAAGTCCCAGCACTGGGCCCTGTGGCATACTACTCATTACAATTTGAAAAAGACCCACTTAGTTCCCTACTTTCTGTAAGCCAAAGAATCTTCCACCCAATGCCAATATGCTACCTACACAATGAGCTTTTATTTACCTCAATAGCATTTAATGTGATTCTCTATTAAATGCCTTCTGGAAACCTAAGTGCAGTATATCCACCAGTACTCCTTTGTTACCTCCTCAAAGAACTCCAATGGATTGCTAAAGCATGATTTCCCTTTCACAAAACCATTAACTCAATTTGATTAACTGAAACATACCCAAGTGTTCTGCTGTAACTTCTTTAACAATAGGTTCTAACAATTTCCCTGTGATAGATGTTATGCTCACTGGCCTCTAGTTTCCTGTCTTCTGCCTCCTGTCCTCTTTGAATAAAGGAGTTACATTCACTGTCTTCTAATCAGGAAGGTAATAGCCTAGTGATATTATCACTGGACTGTTAATCCAGAGACCTGAGTGTCCTGGGGACCCAGGTTCAAATCACACCATGGCAGCAGGTGGACTGTGAATTCAATAAATATCCAGAATTAAGGGTCTAATGATGACCATGAAACCATTGTTTGGGGAGAAACCCACCTTGTTCACTAATGTTCTTTAGGGAAGGAAACTGGCATTCCTACCAGGTCTGGCCTACATGTGACTCCAGGCCCACAGTAATGTTGTTGACTCTTAACTGCCCTCTGGGCAAATAAGGATGAGCCCCTGAATAAAGGGAAAAATATCAGATGTGACCATCCCTGAATGAAGGGAATTTTGCAAACTAAAACCGATACATCAATATATCTCACTAACCATTTCTGCTATGACCTAGGATAAATTACATCAGGACCCACTTGTCAGCCCTCTGCTCCAACAATTTACTCAGTACCACATCTCTGGTCATTGCAATTTTCCTGAGTTCCCCACTCTCCTTTCTACTTCCTGACTTATTAAATCCTGATTCTAGGATTTCCTCTCTTTTTTTATTTAACCTACTTTTCTAATCAAACTGTTCAGAAATGTTATTACACACCTCTGGAGCAAGTGGGACTTTGAACCCAGGCCTTCCAGTCCGGGGGGTAGGGACACTACTACTGTGTCCCTAAGGATTTCTTCTGTGTGGACAAGGTCAGAAATCACACGACACCAGGTTATAGTCCAACAGGTTTATTTGAAAACACAAGCTTTCAGAGCCTCAGTCCTTCTTCAGGTGTTAGTGAGAGAGGACACAGAATTTATAAGTAAAAGATTAAAGCTTCATACCATTGATGAAGTTGTACTAAACAAACCTTAGATGCTGTTAAATCTTTAATCAGTTAGAAGGTTTTAATTGATTAATATGTATATGTAAATCCCTGAATTCCTTTCAAGTCACAGTCCTGAGAGAACTAAAGGCTTTATCAGAGTAAAGAAGAGGTGACATTTTAGATAAGGCAATGCATATTAGGTGTGAGACCTTGTTTAGAATCTGTTTGTGTTTTAGTTTGGAGTCAGACTGGTTTTATTTCTAAAGTAAGAATTTATAAAATGCTATATTCTTCTAAGTGAATGTGGATGTAAAATACCTGTCCAATTCATCAGCCATTTATTCATTTTCCATTATTAATTCTCCCTGTATCAAAGTTCACTTTAACATTTTTTTAAAAATATTTATAGAAATACCTAGTGTCTATTTTTAACAAAGGTTGGACTTGAAACTCAGCCATGCATTGCATGATGAATTGTTACCCAAAATACAGTAACTGCTGTTCTTCTATATAATTCTCTGTTTTCAGTATACTGAAGTGGTAATTATTGTGTTTAACTGCAGGAGGTTACAGTGTAATTTAAATTATTTACATATACTTTTGCCATGACAGAATAAAACACAATGGCACTGGTTAGTTCATTATTGTGATTTGCTTCTTTTTGCTGATCCTAATATTAATATAATCCGGTTAAAGATGGGTGTTCTTTCTTCTCTTTGAAGATAGTACATTCATTTGTCCCATGGCTTCTGTCTTGTTTTTATTTGAGGATGAGGAGTCAGGTCTCAAACCTGCCTCAACCAAATCCAGGATTGAAATCTATGCTGTTGAAATTAGTTTTACGATACATATAGCCAACTTTCATTCATTTTGAGATAACAAGGTGTAGAGCTGGATGAACACAGCAGGCCAAGCAGCATCTGAGGAGCAGGAAGGCTGACGTTTTGGGTCGAGATCCTTCTTTCATTCATTTTTAAGCTTTTCTTTTTTACATTATGAGATGTGAAGGAACAGGCAAAACGCAACAAATTTCATCTGATTGGGGAGTTATATATGAAATTTTACAGAAAGTTAAATGCGACAGTCACACTTGTGTTGATTCCTTAACAAAGTTACCAGTCTCTCTCAGGACTGGGAAACTACATAGGTTCAGTTTATTTGAAGATCTGAGATAAGATCTAACATTTGCTCATTTGACAGCATGATTATACAGGAACTCAGATGACCCCCTACCCTCACATGCTGCAGGGTGTTAGTCACCAGGTCTCTCAGCCCTTAAAGCAATATCACATAAACAGCAACAAGAGGGGCAAATCTTGACTTTGGGCAATAGTTATCAGCCAGTCACTCTGTGTCCTTTTGTTACTTCCATTGGATTCGAGTTAAATAAAAATCTGGAGTTATAGAACAGTTTGCAAACTGGCTCAGTATCAAGTCTGGACCGATATGTTTACTGAACTAGTTAACATGACACATCTGTGACCAGTGGGATTTGAACCCAGACTGACAGAGAGGTGAGACACTACCCCCTGAGCATTTAAGTGTTTATTTAAACCAAATTGTTTGGACATGTAATGGTACACCCCCATAACAGAGCCTTCTGGTTCAGAGGTAGGGACACTACCCCCGTGCTATTAAACCCTCAAGGTGATGTATAGCTACAGAGATAGCTGCAGCCCTGCGCTAACTGGCTTTCCCGGACCTGGGAAAGAGGAGACTCGGTCGTCGCTGTCCGTGGTGCTGATCCTTTTGGCCCTCGCTGTGCATCCTTCCCGATCCAAGCCACGGCCCTGTGGACCTGCTGAGATTCGGAGGAAGGCCGCACGGAGATGATAAAGCTTTTCCTAAAATTGTTACACAGGATAATGTAGATGAAGGGATTGAGGCAGCTGCTGGAATAGCCCAAACCGACTGCAGCCACATAGGCGTAGTAGAACAGCAAGGTGGGCTCGGCTGGAGTCAGCTGTACCAACTGCAGCAGGTAAAAAGGTGCCCAGCAGAGAAGGAAAGTGAGGCAGATGGTACTGGCGATTCGCGCCACTTTTCTGGTCCGCAGTCTAGCTCTTTCGTGCGAGAGGAGAGAGCTGGGGGAGCTCATCTTCAACAGGATCTTCCTGTAAGCCACTGAGATGACGGTGAAGGGAATAGCGAACGCCAGGAAGAACTGGTAAATGGTGAACCAGTACATATCCGTCTTGGGGTTGGGAAAGCGGATCACACAGCCCGAGAGGCCCCCGGGTTGCCGGAGGAGCCCGGCGTACATCCAAACCGGGATCACAGACAGAAACGAGAGGAGGCAGAGACAGCAGACCGTGAGGGTGGCGAAACAGGGTTTGCGGAAGCGAGCCGAAGTCAGAGGGTACACGATGGCCAAGTACGTGTCTATAGTCATAGCTGCGAGGATGTAGGTGCTGCTAAACTGGGTGTTGGTGTCCATCACAGAGATAACGGTGCACATTCTGCTCCCAAAATACCAACCTCTATTCCCCAGTAACTCAGGGATGACAAACGGCATCCCCATCAGGAAGAGCAGGTCAACCACAGACAAACTGAGGAAGAAGACATCCGGAACTCTGCTGCCGCTGGACTTGAATTTAAAGTTCTTGATCACCGTGAAAATGACAATAGTGTTGCCGATTATCCCGGACAGAGCGATTAGAATGAATATTGTTGGCATGATGATACTTGTGTAAACAAAGGGATTGGTCTCTGAAATTTAAAGAAACGAAATTTCCCTGTTACAATCAAGAGTTTGATACAATATGTATGTAAAGGGTGTGGGGAGGATCAATGTTTGTTTAAGTGAAATTGACAAAGTCTTCCAAAACTTGCATAAAAACGGAAATTGCTGGAAAAGCTCAGTAGGTCTGGCAGCATCTGTGGAGAGAAGAATCAGAATTAACGTTTCGGGTTCAGTGACCTTTCCTCAGAACTCTTCCAAAACTGGCTTCTCTTTCCAACCCTCCTTCCCTCAATGATACAGTTGCCCCCGATTTAACAACACAAGTGAGCTTTCAAGAGCTACCATTTGGAAATTTAAAAAGGGAAAGCATTTCTTCGAAGAAAAACGCAGAAATTAACGTTCTCGATGAGAATTGAGATATCTAAAGTATTCATTTTAAAAAAAAGACGAGCCTACGCAGCAACGGGAAAATGTGAGCATAAACCATGGGACGCTGGAGATCGGTAATGAAACCACAAGGAGCTGGGAATCTCCGCAAGATTCTGACATCTCTCAGCATCAAAACAGATGCTAAGTACCCGAAATGATCGAGATGCAGAAACTGAAGATAATCCTGGAATTTTACTCAAACGGCGCTTTCAGAATTATTTCTCCTTAACCTGATGGAAGCCGATTTTTAAAAAAAATGCCTTTTACCTGAGAATGTGAAGTTGTTGAACGAAGTATTTGAACAGTTCCATGGGGCCATTGTGTTAAGCTGATTTCTCCTCGCTATGTTTTACAGGATCTTTGCAAATACATGGACCCTTTTTATAGATTCTACGACGGATCTGTCCTAAAGCATCAGTCAGTTGCTGAAGTCAGCTTCAATTCTATTTGTACTTGTGTCATTGCGTAAATGTGTTTAGATTCGGCGGCAGGAGCTGGGGAGTTCGTGACAATCAGACTCGCTGACTTGTTTTTACAGCAACTCATCCCTCACACCCCGTCCCCGCAATAACAACCAGAACAGAATCACGTCCCACCCCACCAACCTCCGGATCCAACGCATCATCCTCCGACACTTCCGCCATCTGCAATCCGACCCCACCACCAAAGACATCTTTCCCTCCCCACCCTTACCTGCTTTCCGGAGGGACAACTCTCTCCGTGACTCCCTTGTCCGCTCCACACTCCCCTCCAGCTCCACCACACCCGGCACTTTTCCCTGCAACCGCAGGAAGTGCTACACCTGCCCCTACACCTCCCCCCTCACCCCCCAAGAAGACTTTCTACATCAAACAGATGTTCACCTGCACATCTGCCAATGTGGTATACTGCATCCGCTGTACCCGGTGTGGCTTCCTCTACATCGGGGAAACCAAGTGGAGGTTTGGGGACCGCTTTGCAGAACACCTACGCTCGGTTGGCAATAAACAACTGCACCTCCCAGTCACGAACCATTTCAACTCCCCCTCCCATTCCGCAGACATGTCCATCCTGGGCCTCCTGCAGTGCCACAACGATGCCACCCGAAGGTTGCAGGGCCACCCGAAGGTTGCAGGAACAGCAACTCATATTCCGCTTGGGAACCCTGCAGCCCAATAGTATCAATGTGGACTTCACAAGCTTCAAAATCTCCCCTTCCCCTACTGCATCCCAAAACCAGCCCAGCTCATCTGCCCCTCCCTAACCTGTCCTTCCTCCCACCTATACCCCCCTCCCACCTCAAGCCCCACCCTCATCTCCTACCTACTAACCTCATCCCGCCCCCTTGACCTATCCGTCCTCCCTGAACTGACCTACCTCCTCCCTACCTCCCCACCTACACTCGCCTTTACTGGCTTCATCCCCACTTCTTTGATCTGTCTGTCTCCTCTCCACCTATCTTCTCCTCTATCCATCTTCTATCTGCCTCCCCCTCTCTTCAGAAATGGGGGAGGGGAAGGGGGTTCTGAAATAAATAGGGAGAAAGGTCTAGGCCCGAAACGTCAGCCTTCCTGCTGTGTTCATCCAGCTGTACACCTTGTTATCTCTGTTTTTACAGCGGCCCCTTTTTCATGACCCTGGGACTAATATACTGGCAGGGAGATTTGCTAGAGCTACACTGGAGTGACGGGGGCGTACAAAGGCGTAGTGAGGATAAAAGAATGAGTCTGAGGCTGGTACAGTTGAGAAAAGGAGCAAATCAAATAGTCAAGGCAGGCAGAAGCAAAGCAGAGGAGGAGGAGATAGGACTGATAAATTAAATTGCATTTATTTCAATGCCGGAGACCTGACAGGTAAGGCAGATGAACTTAGGTCATTGTTGGGAACATGGGACTGGGATACCATTGTGACTGGACTTGGGGAGGATAATCCAGGGAGTACATCCATTGACAGTATTTGGGTGGAACTGAGAAAGAAAGGGATGATCACCTTATTGGGATTGTACTATAGAAAGCCCAATAGTCAGCAGGAAATTGAGAAGCAAATTTGTAAGGAGACCTTGGTTATGTGTAATAGGGTGGTAATGGTAAGGGATTTTAACTTTCCAAACATAGACTGGGACTGTCATAGTGTTAAGGGCTTGAATGGAAAGGAATTTGTTAAGGGTGTACAAGAAAATTTTCTGATTCAGTATGTGGATGTACCAACCACTGAAAGAGCAAAACCTGTCCTTCTCTTGGGGAATAAGGCAGGGCAAGTAACTGAGGTGTCAGTGGGGGAGCACTTTGAGGCCAGTGACCATAATTCTATTAGTTTTAAAATAGTGATGGCAAAGGATAGACTGGATCTAAAAAGTTAAAGGTCTAAA